ATAAAAATTAAAAAATTAAAAAGTTGAAAATTGTAAAAACTGGCAGCTGATGAAGTGGGTGGTGTCAAAAAATTGGCACCTCAGTCTTGACATGATTTCAGCCCTTCTAGCCATCGGAAATGCAAAAAATAAAGAGATTATTAATCTACAATGATGTACCAATCGCCCGAACTAGTGATGAGTAAAAAAATTTTTTTTACAAATTGGCGACTGTTTGAAGAAAAAGTGTTTTTTTACTGTTTTTTGAGTTTCTCGAATTTTTTAAAAATAGTAAAAATTGGAATTTGGGGATAATCCTAGTTCGGGTTATAGATAGATCTGTAAAGAAGACTCTCTGAACATTTCAAGTGAATCGGTCGATTAAAACTCGAGAAATCGTGTCAACAGTACTGAAAAAGTCTGTTCTGAGAAAACCGCATTTAAAGTTTTGCGTGAAGCCAAACCAGTATGGAGACCGAGTCAGTAAAATGCCTATCTCTCCGAAAATAATTCAAATTTTCAAAAACCTTCTCGTGCCCACATTCTTAAACAGTTAAACTTTGAAAATATGAACTAAAAAAAACGATTTTTTTGAATTTCTACACTAGAATACCCTCTTAATAAAAGAATAACTTACCTAATATATTTTGATATGTTTTTTATGGTTTTGTGCCAAGTAGAATCTGAAGATGTGTCTGACAATTAAAAAACAACAATTTTTCTTAGAGTTTCAGAAAATACAATATTTAAATGTAATTTAAAATTTTATGTAAATGTAAACACTATATAATTTTTACTATCTTAGAAAACTAGCACCTTCAGAAACATCAAAAGGTCAATCCTACTAATTTAGGAGCATAATTTTTAAATTGTTTTATATAGTGTTTCATATTTTTCTACCCTACTATCTTACCTCATTAAGCAAATATAGTAGAATCTCGCTAATCCGCACTGTTAAAAACCAGAGGGTGTCGGATTAGTGGAATGTTCGGATTACTGGATTGTAGTAAAAAATACATAAAATATTGAAAATCGCGGAAATATTTACAGCTGATTTCCAAAAAAAAACTGTCGCTGGAGGTGTCGAATTGAAGTATCGGTCTATCGAAGTTTCGGATTAGCGAGATTCTACAGTACAAATAATTGGCATGAAAAGAAGAATTTTGTACATATGTATTTTCTTTCAGTTATTCCTTTCAACTTTAAATTATCTTTTATCTATCAAAAAAGAAAAATTTCCATCTTCCGTTCCAGATGCAACCAGGTTCAGCGTTGTTTTCAACAATGATGCAACCAGTGAGCGAAAGCCCAATTTTAGAACTATCAGAACAAATGGAGTCCATGTGAGAAGAAAATGTCTCGGATGATGAAAAAAATGAGCCTCCCATAAATCGTACAGAAAGCGAACAATCTAAACATGTGAGAAGAAAATTGCCCAGGATACCAAAAACCCAATAAGTGGCAACGAATGTAAGTAAACCAATATAAAAAACTATTTATTTTTGTTCAATTTAAAACTATTACATTATTTATTCATATTTAATTATATATGAGTAGTAATCATTATAAGAATACATAATTTTCATTATAATCATGCGTGTGCCTGGCACGTTATTTTAGGAATTAGATAAGCTGTATATTTTTAAAATAAAAATTTATATTTTTTTCACAGATTTTGCAAGACGTTTCTATGCGAATTAGCCTGAAGAAAAATAAATGTAGCTTCATTATAAACTTTACCAAACTGCAGTAATCTCAGCAGTTCGCCATATGAAGGACTTCTTATAAAAAGTTGAGAATATAATGGCCTTATAGTGTGTGAATGAATTTATTAAATGAAGTTTAATGTAAAAATCAATTAACAAATTACATCTGTCAAATTAAAAACATCAGTTAGAACCCTTACTACTTACATAAAAAGCATTTATTAAGACCAAATAATTTGCAAAGCATATTGGTAAGTTTTACAATTAAAATTTGTGAGAAACTGCCTATAATAAATCGACTATTAAAAAATGAAATATGGCATTAACAATTTCATCAAAACATGAAAGACATGATTTTCAATATATTAATCAATGAATTTGAAGCTAATGATATTATATAGTTGATTGATTATCATTCCAGCTTTCTTATTACTGGCAATAATCTTTCTAATTATAGGATTATTGACCATTTTATTAAACGTAAAATTTGTTACCAGTGAAATGTGTAATTTTTATATAAAAGAAATAACAAACGTGTGCCTAAACATTTCAACCTACTTGGCCTCATGAAAATCTTTTTTAAATATGTGAGCAAAATTTTTGTAACACATGTTAGTACCAATTTTTTATAATGATTTCTCTGAGAGAAAAGCATTTTGATAAGAAAAAAATAATAAATGATATGGCAATCGAAATGTTCTAATAAAGTACTTCAACAGTACTTTCAGTGTAATATTTAGTAGTGTTATGATGAAGAATTTTGGCAAATCTATAAAAGTCATAAAATAATGAGTCAGTTAAGGTATTAATGAATAGAAAAGAAAACTAGGATTCTAATCATATTGAGTAAGTGCCAAAGTTCTTTTTTGATAACGTTACTGGATTTTATACTGTTCTTTGGTCAATTTGGGCAATGAATAAATTTTTGTAATGATACATACATATCGGTTGATCTTTGTGAACAAAGAGACGATTTTTAAAAAGATGTTGTACATAATAATCTTAATAAAACAGAGCTTTCGATGTATTTCAGGCTAGTCGTCTCGATTAAGGCATTAATACGAAGGTGTACTTTCGAAATTATTTCTGAAAAAATGAATTTTTTGATGCTAATGCTAATGACATTTTTTGTCACCAACGTATTTTGTCTTTTATAATTAGTATATTAATACCAGACAATAAATCATTTAATCATTGCACTAATCAATGAATAATTACGAATTAGTTAAGTTTATCCAGATACGTAGCATAGAATATTTTTTAAACTAAATAAACTAAGTTGAAGCATAAACAGACGTGTGATAATTCTTTGAGCATTGAAATAAGTATAGTTTTAAATATTTTATAAATTAAACATAAAATGTAGTGCAAATCAAGCCAAATATAGATTGAGCACAAAGTATAAATCCCACCATATTCATAAACTCATAAAATATTAACTAGGATTTTTGTGAGTTCAGACTAATAATAATTCATTACTACTGAATATTATTAGGTAGTACCCAATTAACAGGTGCTTAATCCATGATAATCTACATAGTCGCTCTTAATAATTTCATTTCGTTTATCATTGGAAAATCACTCATTTAAAAGCACTATGTAACTAAAAAAAATTACTAAATCACACACTACCTCGAACACGTCAAGCTACAAGACTGTTTTAGTCCTAAATCCTAAAATCATTTTTTATAATAATAGTCTAAATTCATTGAAGATTGATATTTCATCGCTGTGTAAAAAATAACCGTTCAATGGGATAGTAAACATACCGCGAAGTCTTTTGTAAAGCATATAAGACAAATTTTCATATAGAAGTTGATATCATTTTTGATATCATTTTTTTTTCAACTTGTAATCAAATGTTTTCGTCAACAGGGTAATGAAACCGCACTAAAATCTCATTCTTAACACATTGGATTCATACACATGAATAAAACAAATTGGAGAAAATCGGCAGTATTTTTATACTTATGAGCTTTTCAATAAGAAAATGAATTTATATTGTATCACAAATCGTTTCATTCTTTCTAATATCAATCCTCCCAAGAAAATCCATTTACCGATGTTAAAAACCACATAAAGAAATACAATTCATTTCAATTTAATCATAATAATCCAACAGTTAAATATATTTTTTCTTAAAAAGATCGACACGTGTAATATTAACTTGATCAGAACTTTCAAAAATCCAATTTGTTGGATTTAAATTAAAATCGTTTAAGAAAATGTCTATAAAGTAAATATTATACATAAGGCATTCGAAGCAATCAGAATTGGCTTTTTAGTATAAGGTAGAATATTGTTAACTTTGTATAACCTAATGAAATAGGAATTGCGTTAATGGCAACAGACAATTATAAAATAATTCGTAACAATTGCAATAAATTTCTTGGTTAATTTTTGCAATATTTGTTAGATATAGCATATTATATATAGAATAAGAAAAAAATTCAGAAAAAAACAAATAAGTGTTAAAAGGAAATGTACATATCTAAGTTGTGCATGTTATACGATGGAGCTATAATAAATAACTAGATATTGAGAAAAATTCAAACACGGCTTGTTATGTTTTTTTTTCTTTTGATTGTACTATGAAATATTAGTTCAAGTTTATTATGTAGCTCTATGTATCATATCCTAATTATAAGACTATATTCAAACATTATAGATATTGTAATAATTTTGTATTTTGGTTGTGATATAGGCTATTATTGTAGTGATAAGATAAAATTTATGTTTGTAGTCGGTAACACCAATACACATGGAAAAGTTGAAAATAATACATGGAATTATGAAAATATTTAGTGTTTTAATACATGATAGTCGTAGTGAATTTCATTAATATTAGCCGATTTATATGTGAACAACCCCCTTATAACGCGGTGAAGGATAAAAGAATATATTCTCTATAAGATCTCGAATTGAAAGGTACAAAACCAAGCCAAGGTACAAAAAAAGTCAGATAATAACTGCAATTTTTCTTACCATGTTCTATGGAAACCAGAATTAAACGATAAATGCCAGTCGTATTTAGCTATATACATTTTGATACACTTATTTGAAAACGTTTCTACAATTGCTGAAATTTTCAATATAAAAGACGTTGGGCTGACCAAGAAGTTTGAACAAGAAGTTGCAAAATCTTTTCAAACAAAATCTCAAAAACAATGAAAATATTTAAATTTTTTACACGCCTGCATGTTTTATATGAAATCAAAATTATAACATATAGTAATAAAAACTATTATATATGTAACCCCAAATCAGATTTATTTAAAATTGACATTTTCAAAAATAAAACTCTATCAACAACGTTCAAAACACATACAAATAATCTAAAACTAGAACTAAGTATGTACAATTATTTACAACTCATTAATAAAACTATGACCGCTTTTATGATTTTTGAATATTTAAATCAGTTTCCGTTTGTGGAACAATGACGTTAACTGCAGACGTATTTTCTGGAGGTGGTGTATCTACGGGTTCAAGAGTTGGATGTTTTGCTTCTACATTTAAAATTCCCGGTGAATTTACAAGTTTTTCTGCTTGTCCCGGAAAATCCAAAATGGGAAGAATTGTAGAGCTAAGCTTAGCACGAGCGATTAGTCTTTCCAACTGTATTTCATTGCCAAATCTTCTAGCCTCCGCTTGTACTGTAGCCAATGTTTCTTCATTGGCCATTGACTGCATTGTAATTTTTTGACGCGTATGTCTACTTGCGGTGCTGTATATATGATATTTCTATATTCTGGTAGCTCAATACATAGACAAAACTAATCTCGCATTAGGCAAATATTCCATTGAAAAATGTAAATAAAAATGTTCATTAGAACAAGTTTCCGTTCAATTAAAATATTTTACATTTGCAATGTTAAAAAACTTTAAACTGTTATAAAATCAGCTCGTAATGACGTGCAGGTTTCAAAAATAAAACTAAAATAATTATATTACTTTAAAATCAAGTGCACTTTTCGACTTTGCCACATCATATATGAAACTCTGTATAGATAACTACATCCATACAAAAATTGAATTACACCCCAATTTAAAAAAAAAATAAAAAAAATCTGTTATTCAATTTTACCTGATCAGAAAAACTTCTGCTGCCAATGCTATACCAGCAGTAGTTAAGCACATGGCAACAATCCAGGCATTAGGCAACCTTTTTACCCCCGGAATTCCATAATAAGGTTTAGGTTTTTGGCTTGTTTTATTTTTTGAATTCCATATTGTGGAATCTGACCAAGTCCTGCAGGCCCAACACATTGTTCTAGTTCAAATGGTAGGAAAAGGAAAATGATAGGATCAAGGATTACCATGAAGGATGGAAAGGTGTACAATTAGGAAAGGATAAAATAAACCTAAAAAACTGGACAGCTTTTTGTAAACTTTGTGGCTATGACGGCATTATAACCATATCCATGTTGTAATAATATGTTAATGATTATGATATGCATAAAAATCACATATTTTTAGCACCAATCATTTTTTCTTTATTTGAATCATAATGTAAATTTTGTAAATCTTAGACGGAAGTATTTGGTATGAGATATCGTACAATTAATAATCATTCTGTCCAAAGGTTTAGGTTTAAAGTAAAGAATTGTCACTTAAAACATTGTGAAGAGAAAGAAATAAGAAGATCAACATTCACTATTTTCAATATTTTATGTGATTTTCTAGAAAAAAAAAAACAATATTTTATGTGATTTTCTAGAAAAAAGCAATATTTTTTATACTATTCTTTTTAAAACTGTTCATATTTATATCATCAAAAAACATCAAGATAGCAGATTGGACACTTTAGACATATCATTGTTGTTTAGACATATATTGTTAAATGTTAAATATGAATAATACAACACTCAGATTTTTAACACACACCCTATTTGATAATTAAAGATGTTTCGAGAACATGTTGTGCTTCATCTTCAGTGTAATTTCAAAACAATTACTTATATACTAACACATTCTGAAGATGAGGCATACCATGGTCTCGAAACGTCTGTAATTACCAAAAAAAATGTGTGTTAAAAATCTGAGCAGTGTATTGTTCATATTTAACATTTAATATTCATTCCAGTCATATCATAAAAATCTATATTTTATACTGTTAAATTAAACTAATTTAAATGTAGTCAGCAATGTTGATCATCTTTCTAAGACCCTCAAATATATTATACACTAAATATTGATTGGTGAATCAAAACAGTGAAGATATACAGGAACTAACTGTTATTTATAAAGTAGAAATAATTACAATTTTTTATAAATAATTACATTTTAAAATCAGTTTTGATTTGCACCATCCAATATTGAATCGAAACAATAATTCATTAACTAATAACATTGATTATGAATAAAAATATCTTACTCAGGGTCCATATCTCTTCTAGGCCATGTTGTTTCTCGAAGCTTAATTGCCAGTTCAGCATCATATTTTCTTCGGGTAACAGGACGACTTAATATCTTATAAGCTTCAGATATTTGCAGAAAATCTATGTGGCTTCTTTTACCACTATTGACATCAGGATGAAACTGAAGATAAAAATAACTAAACTTAGATGGAAAAATGAAACAAAAGGTATTAGATTTTGGATTAATTTATTCTCCCAACTGTTATATTTCACATTCACAGAAAAATTATAATCTGGTATGGAAATTGTTAGGAGGTTTGAAGGATCTGTAAAATCAACTTACCTTTTTAGATAGTTCTATAAATGAAGCTTTTATTTCTCTAGTAGAACAATTTTTTCTTAATTTTAAAACGTCGTAATGACTTCTGTGCCTGCACCTGCAACTAAAACGTTAGTAATATTTTAAATAATATTTAATAGTGCTGCAGTTGATCCAAAAACAAATAGTACGAAATTCGTACCTTAATCTTAGAATGTTGTGGACGCAAACAGATAGCATGTAGTTCACAGAACGTAAAGGCATATCGTTAACATTATTAAAAATTAATTTTACCTTTATTTAAAAGGATTTATTGAGTTAATTTGGAAAAAGTAATTAAACAATTGCCTAATGATGAGGGGTTATGAATTTTGATTTTGACTTGACAATGACCAAACGTCACATTGGCCAATATGTCAAATGTCAAATGGCTGTCAAAACTTGAAAAAGCACGGTCTGTTTTATTTAGCTTCACTTCAATACTCATAATTATATCAAAAAGCATATAATTGTAATAAATTATTTCATATATTTTTATAAAAAAAAATGTCATTATATGAAGGAAAAAGTGTAATTCAAGAAAGACCTGCCCTAATTTTTGATATTGGATATGCATACACCAAGTACACTAATAGAATTATATGAATTCTCATTTAAAATCAGATAATAACTGCAATATTTCATTTAGATTTGGATTCGCAGCTGAATTTTGTCCAAGATGTATAATACCTTCAAAGATTACTTGTGAAAAAACAAAGAAAGTGAAATTTATTCATGAATATAGTGACAGCAAAGAATTATATGACAATTTAGTTGAGTTCATACAACAAATTTGCATTAGGTATATGTCCCTTTGTATTACAGTAATTTAATTGCAAAAGGTTGCTAAAAATTGTCTAAAAATTGTGGTTTTGCTTAGGATTAATAATATGTATATTATCCTAAATATTTAACCGGTTTGCAGTTCTATACAATATTGTGAATTGCAACAATATTTGCTGCATGCACACTAAAAAAAAATGAAACTAAATCTTTTGATCTATTATTACAAATTTATTCTAAGTTGTCTTCAGAATTTTTTAGTGTGCCAAAAATAGTTGCTTCAATTATCCCTGATTCCTTTTTTCATTGTAAATTCACCTACTTATTTTTTAATGCTGAATAAATTATATTTGCAGATATGGCCTAGTTAGTCCCAAGGATAGAAAAGCAGTTATTGTTGAATCGTTACTGTGTCCAACAGTGTTTCGAGAAACTTTAGCTAAAGTCTTATTTGCACATTTTGAGGTATTCTATTTATATATTTACATATACATTACATATATAATAAGCCATGTATTATTTCAATTACTAATATTTATTATAGGTGAATGGAATATTATTTCTTCCTTCCCACACAATTGCATTATCAACTTTAGCTGTTGAAACAGCTTTGGTTGTTGATTTGGGATACAAAGAAGCAGGTAGCTATAAAATTATTTAACAAATTATTAACAAATATATGTAACCTACACTATTCTGAGAATTATGATCTGAAAAATATTAAGGTCATTAAAGCAAAATAATTTCTTTCAGTTTGTATTCCAGTCTATTGTGGTGTAGCTGTACTACATGCTTGGCAAGCTCAACCGTTATGTGCATTTAGTGTCTATGATAAAATACGTAATGAGTTGACTTCACAATTGTCTTTAGATATAGAACTTACTGATGATATATTAGAAAACATTGCCGGTTTGTCATTAATCAATTATTACATTTTAATTAATTATTGTAGATGATTTTATTCAAAACAAATTTTACATTTCAATAGTACGAACATGTTTTGTGACTACCTTGGATCGAGCAAATCAATACAGAGAAGGAAATTCTCCTACACCTCCACCATCAGTATCATATCCTCTTGATGGAAGTACTATATTAGAAATTCCTGGTAAGTTGAGAGAAACAGTATATGAAGAACTATTTCCAGTAGACAATGATCACATGGGACTCGGCAATATGATACTTGATGCTATAATAAAGGTATTGATTCCTTTGTAACCTTTTTTTATGCAATTCTTATCAATGCAGTATATATTTTTGAATCTCTTTATTTTACAGTGTCCAATTGACATGCGTGTTCAGTTAGCAAATAATATACTATTAATGGGTGGAGTTTCAATGACTACTGGTATTAAATCACGACTTAAATCAGAGCTTTTGCATTTGGCTTCAACTGAAAAATATAATAACATACCTGCATTAAGAGTGTTCAAATTTCATACATCTCCTTCAAAACCTAATTATACTGCTTGGCTTGGAGGTTTGTATTTGTTTTCTTAATATTTGATCAAAATATTTTCTAAATGTTTTTATTGCAGGTGCTATATATGGTGGCACAGACCTCGTAAACACAAGGGCATTGACAAAGGAAATGTATGCCAAAAATTCTCATGTCCCTGATTGGTCTAACTTATTGGACAATCTACCTGAGCATAATAATGAAACACGATGTATTGGTAGCAAATGATTGTTATGCATATCTGTATCAAAAGTTTTATTTATTATTTGCTTTATTTAAAATAAAGAATTTTTTTATATCAATTATTTTTCTGATTTACAAAAGACCAAGAAGAAGCTTTACCATGATCTTTTATTTCTATACCCAAAGCCTTTAGATCATTCCTAATTTTATCACAGAACTCAAACATTGATTTTCGATTCTCCTTCAAGGCTATTTGTCGAATATCATCTCGCACTTGAACAACACTATTTAATATGCTTGTGTAATCAATGTTTGCTGTTGTTTTCTCCTCATACATTTGCATTCCGAAAAGCTTTAAATGTTTTTCAATAGAAGATTGTATCATTGCTATAATGCAACAGTTTTGAGCAATTATATAGTTTTGATTACTGGATTTATTGCTATTGATAATTTTATTAACAATATCAATTAGACTTAAAATGGAGCTCATACATTTAGCAGTATCAAAATCGTCCTTTAAAGACTCTTCTATAGATTTATTCATAATATCTACTTGGTAGAATAAATAAGCTTCATCTATATCAACTCTTGGCTTTATTCCATTTGTATAAGCAGTACAATCTGTTAAAAATGTATGAATTTTTTTATATATTGCACTAGCATGATCCATGAATGATTCAGAGTATACCATATGACTTCGATAATGTGATAATAAACAAGCAGTTCTTAAAACATCTGGAGAATATTTCTTCAAAAATTCTGATATACTAATAGTATTTTTTAATGATTTAGACATTTTGCCAGAATCTTTCATTTGCAAATGGCCTGTATGAATCCAATAATTGACCCATTGATCGCAGTCATGATATGCACAACTTTGGGCTTCTTCATTTTCATGGTGGGGGAATCTTAGATCAATTCCTCCAGCATGTATGTCTACAACACGGCCTAATAAATGGCTAGCCATAGTTGAACATTCTATGTGCCAGCCTGGTCGTCCTTTACCCCAAGGTGCTTCCCAATAAGGCTCATTTTCTTTAGCGCCCTTCCATAGTGCAAAATCTGAAGCAAATTCCTTTCCTTCTTGTTTCTTATTATCTAATTTTATATTTTCCAACTTTCCATATTTATCATAATCTTTTGTGGCAAAATAAATAGAACCACCTTCACTTTTATATGCCTGACCATATGATAATAACTTTTGAGTAAATGATATTATATGTGGTATATAGTCAGTAACTCTAGCAATCATGTGTGATGGACTAATATTAAATGCTTTGATCTCGGACAAAAACTCATTTTCATATCGTTTTGCGAGTACGGAATGCAGTTCTCCTTGCTCTCTTGCTCTGTTAATGATTTTATCATCAACATCAGTAATACCCAAAACGGTAATGAGATTTATATCAAAATAATTTCTAAGAACTCTTTGCAAAATATCAACATTCAAATAACAAACAGCATGACCAATGTGTGCTGGCGCATACACTGTCGGCCCACATGTATACCATGTGGCCAGATTTTTATTTCTTAAAATTAATGGTACCTTCTTCTTTGCTACACAATTATATATTTCAATCCCTGTGTTATACCCGACCGGCTCTTTCCATTTAGATATATTATCAACCGATGTACATAACTTTTTTATATTACTTGATTTTTTTTCTTTTAATAATATATTTGAACTACAAAAGCAATTAAAGGGTTTTATGAAAATATTTTTATACATATTAGTTATGAAACTTAAAATAATTGAAGATTATTACGCATAATTTTGATATACATTAGATAAACTATTGGCCTGTAGATTATTTTAACTTAACCTATAACTGTCACCTGCTGTCAGCTGTCAAATACGTCGAGTATAATTCACTTACATATTATTTTGTTTTTTTTTAGATTTAAAAGTGGAAACAAATAAATTAAAATCATACATATATAAAATTATCTCAATTCAGGTATAGTACATAAATTAAATACATCATAAATTTGTATGCTAGCATAAATATGTATCTAAAATTGTTGGTCGTGATATGTTGCAAATACGTTGACATTCGATAGAAACAAATTTTAAAATTTTAATACATATTTCCAACTTAGCAATAAATTAAAATTAAAACAAAGTTATATCATTTAAGGAAAGGATAAGGTTCTTAATTGAAACAAAAATGATTTTAATAAATGTGTTATCTTACATCTTTTCAATACATAATTTTCTATTTAACATATTTAGTAACGTACATGTTTAACTTATCTTGCATCAGATAATTGCTCATACAAGTATTAATCACAAAATTTAAAAATAAATAGTCGATAAAAGAATTTTTATTTTTCTAAATTCTGTATCAAACATTGCGGAATGTTTAGTTGGAATGTTTATTTCAGATAAATTTATTTATAACTTAAAATAATAAAATGTGTCGCTAAATATGGCATAGTGATGTACTATAAAATTACATATATATTTATTTTAATGTTATGAACTGTTAAAACAAAGTCATAAATTACTTTATAAACATTTTAGTAAATGATTTCAAAATATATAGTTGCTTATATTTAAAAAAATTTCAGCGATATATAACTTTTAGCTTATCTCTTATAAGTGAATATATTATACTCATATGAAAACTATGTATTAAATTATATTAGTTTATATAAGTAAAGCCAAGTTGTATTGTGTAATGCACTCAATTTTGGTTATTGATACTTTTATCATACTATTTCAAGAAAAACTGCTTATAAATTGATCTAACAAATATTTAAAGTTATTAACTAATTCATAATATTTTAACAAACAACTTCTTTAACGAAAATTCTGAATATGATAAAAGTGTCATAATATGCTAATAGTGTGTTTTATATTTATATATATATATATATATATATATATATATATATATATATATATGTTGAAGATTTGAATATATTCAAGAAAATGAAACAGAATATTCAAAATTTTATTTCATACGTATTATAAATGATTAAATTCAAATCTTCAACACACAATAAACTTCAGAAAAAGAATTCAACCATTAAATAATATTTAACAACTTGGTTTACTTTCTTTTATGAAATTACTGTTTTTTAACAATCAAAATTTTTTATTGGTCTTTAGTATATCAATTTTTCACTTTTATATAGGTTTTTTGAATTTTAAGGCATCTCAAAGGCACTAAATCTGTATGTCAATTCTTATAATAGGCACTTCTTAATTTCAAACCATAATATTTGTAACTTATAATATAAATAGTGTCTACTAACAAAATATTTTAAGTAATATCTAAGTAATATTGCTTTCTTTTTCAACAAAAATGTATCTATAATATCTAAAAATAATATATTTATATTTTCTACACATAATAATATAACTGTACAAGATTTAATCATTGCAATATGCTAAATTTTGGTAAATTAAAACAGATCAAATTTCTAAAATAAAAACTTATATCAAGTGCTTCAACAACTTAGTATTATGTTAATTTTTTTAGGATTTTGTCTTATTTTAAAAAAAATCTCTGTAAAATTATGTACACTGAGTAAAAATAATCAAATATTAACACAATACTAAGTACTAATTAACTTTTAAAATATACAATTAAATACTGCACTTTATCTCCATAGTTATTATGGATATAGTCATAATATAAATAATCATTATACAATGATTCTAAAAAACTATAAGGCACATTTATGTGTACACATAAATAAAATCATAACAGCAATATTTGCTGAAATTAAGTTCAAAAATTACTATGTCGTGCTCCTCTCATAAGAGGAACCAATAATGCTGGCGTACCTGCTTGCCTTAAAAATGGATGCTGCAGCAGTTCTGCTGCTGTAGCTCTTTGTCCAGGATCCCTTACCAGCATCCTGTCTAAAAAGCCTTGTAATCTTGGAGAAACTTTGTGTGAGTTTTTCAATTTTGGCGGAGGCATATCTCTTATTCTTCTCATAGCTTGCAGAGGAGGTTCATTAAAGAAGGGCGGTTCTCCATCAACCATTTCTATAACCATGATCCCAAGACTCCAGACATCGACTTCAGGGCCATAAGGTAACCTGCTAATAACTTCCGGAGACATCCAATAAGGAGTACCAACAAGAGATTTTCTCTTTGGCAACTCCTGACTGACTTGTGCACAAAAACCAAAATCAGAGAGTTTAACACGACCATCAGCTGCTAATAGAATGGAATCTGATTTAATATCTCGATGAATAACACCCTGAGAGTGCAAATATGATAATGCCTTTAAGCATTGTTTGCACACTGTTGCAATCTGCTCTTCATCCATTCGTGCATGGGTCACAATATCAGTAAGAGCACCACCCTCAAGATATTCCATGACTACCCAGAGTTCATCCTAAACAAATTCACAGACAGATATATCAGAAATACTCTATCAAAAAAAAGTACGTCTTATCAAATAGATAAATAAAAACAATATATCTTATTCATTTCTAATTTTTAGAAACTGAGTTCTAAATACTAATCAAACTTCTATCCAACTGTTACCAAAAGCAGAAAATTTTCGGGTTTAGTTCATAATGTTTTTTTTTCTAAGGAATCACTTAAAAAGTTATTGTCACTAATACATTTAATATTACTAAAATTATGTTGGGTGTATAATATTGAAAGTACTTAATCAGCCCTTTTTTTCAAAATCAATTTACCTGTACTAGGAAACTGTTGTACATCTCCACTATATTTGGGTGATGATAATCTCTCATAATCACAACTTCATTAAAAAGTAGTTCCCTGCGCTGTTGCTTGCGCAAATCCATTTTCTTTACAGCTACTTGTCGCCCAGTTCTTCTATCTGATGCAATGCAAACCGTACCCGTTGAGCCTTCACCAATTTTAACAAATTGATCCAAATCTTCACGAGGATCTCCAGCAGATACAACCATTTGCAAAGCAGCACGAAACTGAAAAATAATAAAAATGATGAACTTTATTTAAATATTTTTAAATTTATTGCAACATCTATATTCAGCATTAATTTTTTTTTTTGTCTTTAAGAAACACAACAGTCTTTCAATTAAGTTATATGTAGCAATTAATTCCACAATTGCTTTTAAATAATCTAAAGTATTCACCTGTTCATGTGTCAATCTCTGATCTTGTTTTCCTGGCCCTGCTGCAGCCACGGTATTATTTATGGCACTGGTTCCACCAACAGATGCCTGTGACATTGAAATATTACCACCACTTGAACTAGATGCTCTTGAATTCATCTTATTATGAAGATTTTGATTCTGATCTGCATTTCTCATTTGGATTTGATGATTTTGTACTCCATGGTGGTATCCTGCATTTTGAGGTTGTGCATGCGGTCGCTGTGCTATGCTGCTCATTGAACCTACAGGAGAAGGATGCAGTTGCTGTTGACGGTATTGCAAGTTATAATCAGGCGAAACCATATTATTTCCATTTGACCCTTGGTTTTGATACATTGTCTGATTAATGTCATGTCTGTGCATGTCCTGGTTAATAGAAGTGGGCTTTTGCAAATGGTCCCTTCTCACTGTAGGATAATGAGGAACATTTTGTTCTTCAGGTACTGAAGGGGGCACATTTGCGCGGTAGATTATCTCTACGAAGTCTTGGTGGACTAGAACTTCTAAGTGAATTTGATCGAGCAACATTAGAAGTCTTAGGTAAAATTAAGCCATTTTTATGTGGTACTTGATTTGGTATTTGAGCAATTTTGTGATCACTTCCCATTTTGTGATCTCCTCTTACAATTGTTTTTAGGTCCAGAATTTCAGTAGGCGTAATTTCCGAGGGGTCCACTAAAGGTAAAGGTCGATTAGTAGACTTTAAAATTTGGTTATTGCCGACTATAGAAGCCCATTGTAGTGGTAAACCGACGTATCGCCCAGCATTTTTATCAAACCCTGTATGAACTCGGTGCTCGAAATTACAAGGTGGTGATATTTGAGGCTTCTTCTTTTTCTTTGTAAACATTTTGAAAATTTAAGAAAACTGAATAATCAATATACAAATGTATTGCAATAACTAAAATAGACAACTGATTGATCAAACAAATCTGACAGAACAACACCCCCTTTTGTGCGCCACATTGACAGTTAAAACACAAACATATTAAATATGATTAACACTCTCTTTTCGTTAATTTAAAAAAATACAAAATTGAATTGTAATATATGTTAGTGGTTTCAAGCAATATATAACAAATTTAACAAATAAACTTAATTTTAAAGTATATAAATAAGAAAGCACAACAATTAGCAGCCATGTTTTTATTTACGCTTTTCTTTCACCTAGTGGTAAAATTTGAAACTAGTTCGACACAAATAATTTTTTCAACAATCGCAAGAGAGAGCTATCATTAAAAAAATCATACCGGTGACTTTAATTAGGCCACTGGATAAGGAAATTATTTAGTCCATATGTATTTTTAATGAATGGAATGCGCTTTAAACTCAAAGACACTTTAACCATGTAATAGATATTTTCTATTCCGATTTTGTGTTTATATTTCAATGTGGATGTGATTCAGCAATTAATAATCACAACATAATATGCATTATTATTTCAATTTAGTTTCAAACGATTCAAAATGACTTAAAATGTAGATTTATCTAATGAAATCATTAATTTCCTCAGTAAGTTTATTATACGGTTTTTATGTTGATCGTCAAGTTGAATATATTATATACTAATCGTCTAGAGATGATCGCCTTTTCAACGCCTAGCTGTGTGATTAATCTACTTACAACTTTCATCTATGGTTATAAGCTTTTGCGAAGAGAGAGCGCTGGTATTATAATCAGCACGTGTCGAGTAAAAAATCTTAGTACATGTCAAACAACAAAATAGCAAGCAATATAAATAAAATCACTATTAAATTTTTTTAGATATATAAAATTTAATTATTCAAGAATGACGAAAGTTAGAAAACAAAGGCGCAAGAAGCGATTCCGTACAAATGTAAACAGAAAAAGGCTATTTAAAAAAATGACTAGTAAAGGAAATATTAAATGGTAAATAATTTCTAGGTTATAATTTTTTTCTGTAGGCATCCTTTATATTTATTTTTTTTACAGTAAAGAAATAAAAGAAAGTTGGGATGAAGCCAAATCGGCTAGAAAAAATCTTGAAGAAATGGGCCTATGCTATGATCCTAATCAAGTATTAAAAATTCCTAATAGAAAAAGAGAAAAAATTGAAGAGTTGAAATCCACAATTTCTGGAGGTTTTGAGGTAACTAATTCTCTTCATTTATATATTTTATAGTATAGTTCATGTTCTAGAGTATTATCTATCAAAAATAGGTATCTGATGTGGATCCAACTTCAAATATACCATCCAAATCCCATGTCGTTAAAAAACTAGAGGAAGAAGCAAATGCACCAAGAGCAAGAAAATTTAGGTATGATTTTCTTAGAAATAAGTAAAATTTCTTATAATATCCAGAACTTTTACTGAAATTAAGAGTTATAAGTGCCTAATTTAACATATCATGTTTGCACTTATAGACAAATTGTTTAATTATGAAATATATTTAGATTACCGAAAGGACAAGTACAATGGATTACGTACCTTATTGACAAATATGGTGAAGATTACAAAGCATGGAACGAGATCGTAAGAATTACTATCAAGAAACATGGAGACAACTTCGAGCTAAAATTAATACATTTAAGAAAATCCCTGAACAATATTCAGAATATTTAAATAAAAAAGCAAGTATGTAAATATGTTATGTATCATATGAACTATGACAATTTTATACAAATTAAAATGCTAATACATACATATAATATGGTCTTATTTTTGTGTGATATCAAATGGTTTCCACCATGCAGCTAGTTCATTCACTTTTTGAATGGGATTATTTAGTTTTTTTGGATGCCTCCACAATCTAGGATCTAATTCTAACATGCCTCCAATAATTTCCTAATAAATTACAAAAATGATTTAGAATGAAATTTTATGTGATTTGAAATTTTAAGTATCTCAATTTACCTGTGCAAAATTTCTTGGAAACCTTTCTTGTTCCTCTATAACATGAGCAAAACCCGTTCCATCTCCAAAATCTACCCAAAAATAAGGCAGACCTTTTGGTATAGCTTTCACAACTTCTTTACCCTAAAATTTAATATAAACATTAATTAAATGTATTTATCAAAGACTAGTGTTCAATATTATGCTCAAATTACTAAAGGAACTAAAGTCTCAGATAAATAAAAAAAAGTTTCAGTAAAAAGCATATGCTGAACTCTTTGCTAACATTTTACCTTTAAATCTATCAATTTTTTGTTATGGGACCATTCACCTTCACATTCTAAAATTGCTTTCTTAAAGTAAAACGGTATTAGTTCCATATCTTTTGATGGTGCAGGAATACATTGTATCACCATGTGTGGTCTTTTATTCAAATATATAGCAATTTCAAAAAATACTACATCCATACCATGTGATAAGAACATTTTAGTTAATGCTTTACGGAAATCCTATAAAGACAAATAAATTAAATTAGCAAATTCTATATACTGCATTACAAGTCTAAACAGGCCTGTTTAAATACTTAGTATTAACTAATCATAAAAAACAATGTAATAGGTTGCAACAACCATCAAATTTATAAAAAAAATCTATTTTCAAACATTCTGCTATGAGAATATGAAAGAAAAACTCAACTAATATTTTAAATATTCTTAAACATAAATAATTACTTGTATTTCTCTCCAAACTTCCTCATCAAGTAGAGTTGAACACCCAACGTGTCGAATTGGTATAATGCAACAGTGTCCTTCATGTAAACCTTCAGTTGGCAACAAACTTAAGTAAACATGTTCCCCCATAGCTATCATCAAATGTTTTTCCATTTTTCTAGAGTCCAAGCATTTATCACAATTATCTAGAACTTGTGATATTTTTTCATGTTCTCGAATAGCTCTATTCTTAGCCTTTTCATCTGTTTGATATTCATTATCACAAGATCTTATACTTTCTGAAAATACATCTTCAAGATCATCATTAGGATTTCTATGCTTGGCAACAATTTCTGCAAACTGCTTGTTTTGATTATCTGTTGTATTGAATCTTTCATTTTCAAACTAAAAACATAAAAAAGATATAGATGAGTTCCATAGAAAAATAACATACATATAAATATTACATAAATACATTTGATTTAATTAAATTTTATTTGGTAATGAAGAAATGAAAGTATGCAATATGTTAATGTGCATCCAAATTGATAATTAAAACTCATCAAAGTATTCATGTCACTAGTTGGGTTCAATAATAAATATTTTACTGTTCTTAATTAATCTACTATAGAGAATGTGTCTTAATCTATTATTTATAAAGAAATGTACCATATCGCGTAAACTATGTTTATCATCATCAGCAAAATATTTAGCTCTTTTCCCACCAACATGAGTTTCAGCAACAACTTTTTTCTTTTTCGATTTTCCCCCATAATAAGGATCTTTTTCACTTTTCGGATCTGGTAACGGTCTTGACAGTCCTCTGGAATCAGTAGTTGTCAGAAGAACAGCATTTTCTTTTATCTTATCATTAGATGCTGCAGGCATATTTTTGCGTGCTTCCCTTGCAGCATCTAACTTTTGCTTTAATTCATTTATCTGGCTTTGATTACCTAAAATTTCTGCTTTTACTAGTTTTGCAGCCAATTCATTCATCTGCTGGTCAGTAAGAAAAACAGCTTCTTCGGGTTGAGAACTAGCTTCTTGCTTGGGTCTGGTATTTATAACTTCATTTTGAGACATACAATTTTTGAATTCATCTTTCTTGTGCACATCAGCATTTTTCCTCCAACTTCCTTTTTTTTCAGAGTTAGTATTGTTTCTTTCGCTTGTAAAATCAAAATCAGGTTTCATAAAATTTAATTTTTGATTCATACTTGGTAAACCATCTCCTCCATCTTTCCAATAAGGATTTAGTTCTCTACTACTTTTTCCAGGTGCATATATTTCTTCTTGTTTCTTCTCAAATTTTTCTTTATTTTATCCTTATTGAGTTCTGATTTGGTAAATGTACCGAATGAACCTGTAATATATTTAGCCATATTATTTATCAAATTATATTGTTTTATCCAGATCAATAATATTATATATATATATATATATATATATATAGACTAGCAAACCCGACGAACTCCGTTTCGCCACCAGATGGTTTCGTGAGAAAGATGAAGAAATTTTTTGTTTGTTTTATATTTGAAAAGGAAAAATGTGATTTTATTATACAACAGTAATAAATTTATTTCGATTACAAAAATGAAGTGTTTTTTAGTTGAACTTCTCTAAGTGAATAAAAGTAAATCGGCAAATTATCCGTTTCATGGAAGTGGTCTTTGGTAAACCACATTTTTGTTTTTTGGTCTGACGTTAACACAAACAAAGCGGATGTTTTCCAACTCGTGAACAGGCAACGTATAACTGCCCATGTGATAGATAATGATTTTCTAAATAATCTGTTTAAAATTTATCCCGCAAACACTAAGCGATTGGCCTTGCGGCTTGCGTTGTTAGTTGTCATTGCGAATGCAAGGCAAACTGGAAATTGCAATCTCGCATTAAGGCACGATGCCATGCACACTTATTTTCTTAGCTATAAACCATGCGGAACTCGAGACTTTTCCAACGAATGCAAAATTGTCGAAATCGGTTCTTGCGTTCTGGATTTATATCGTCAGGAAGGAAAACCCAACTTATTTTTATATATATATATATATATATATATATATATATATATATATGTAGATATATGTAGATAATCTATTTGAAATTATTTAAAACAATTGTTATTTTGTCAGGAAGGAAAACCCGACTTATTTTTATGTATATAGAAGATAATCTATTTGAAATTATTTAAAACAGTTATTGATTATTTTTATTACTCGAATTTTTAATTACGGTGCGTGAAGTTCCAGTAGCTTGCATTAAGGCACGATGTCATGCACAACTAATTTTCTTAGCTATAAACCTTGCGGAGCCCAAGACCTTTGCAACGAATGCAAAATTGTCGAAATCGGTTCGTGCGTTCTGGAGTTATTTCGTCAGGAAGGAAAACCCGACTTATTTTTATATATATAGAAGATAATCTATTTGAAGTTATTTAAAACAGTTATTGATTATTTTTATTACTCGAATTTTTAATTACGTTGCGTGAAGTTCCAGCAGCTTGCATTAAGGCACGATGCCATGCACAACTAATTTTCTTAGCTATAAACCTTGCGGAGCCCGAGACCTTTCCAACGAATGCAAAATTGTTGAAATCGGTTCGTGCGTTCTGGAGTTATTTCGTCAGGAAGGAAAACCGGACTTATTTTTATATATATAGAAGATATATACATATACTAATAACATATAATATTTGCTAAGTATCAAATATAATATTTGGTATACTTTGCAAAGACATCCATTCGTCTCTACTAGAATTTCTAGATGTTTCTGGTGCAATCAATTTTTTTTCTGATGAGTCTGGACTATCTTTATATTTATGACTTTTTTTCTTCTTTTTTTTCATTTTCTTTTTAACATATTCATCATCACTTTCACTAGTACTACATGAAGATGTAGAATATCTTTTATGCTTTTTTTTCTTAGATTTTTTTTCACTTTTGTGTTTGTGTTTTTTATTTTTTTTCTCAATATACAACTTGTCACAAAATTCACCCTTTTCTCTAACCTGTAACGAAAATTAAAAATTAAGTTCAATATTTTATGCTGAACTATTAAATTAAATTGTAAAGTACTTCTGCAAGAAAAATGCGAAGTAAAAATAAACCTATGAAAAAAATAAATAAATATGTAAATACCTTTTCCATGGCGATACATTTATTTTCAATATAAAATTAGATTCACACTAAGGAAACTTTACGATTCCAGAAAATAAATAAATTTGGATTTAAATTATCTAAATTGTCAATTTGACAGTTATAGTACAAATTACTGTAAAGCTAGTAACGAGTTTTTTGCAGAAACAGTAACATTTAAATGATAATATAAAAATATGTAAAAAGCATAAAAATAAATATATGGATATATAATAAATGGATTAAAATTTAAAATATTAGATAATAAAGATGCAAGCTTACATTTTACCAGTGGAAGAAAATCACAACATAATCAAGTTTAAATTTGTTAAGTTGCGAGTTCTGAAATGGCGCCATCAAGCATCAACACTTAAGGCATGTGTTAAACGTCAAATATTACTGTAAAGACGAAGTGTATTTACAACCAAGTTCAATTTAATTTGGTTATTGTATTCAATTTAAACCGAGATTTAAACAGTTTGATTTAATTTTGTTTCATTCCTTTTCATACCATATATTTCTTTCTAATATATTTGCATCTTCGTCTTTATTTTTAAGAAAAATCGTTCTTTTCATAGTAGAAAACTAACCGATGAGATATAAAAATAAATTGTCTCTATTTCTGTTTGAAGGTTGAATCTGTTAGTAATTATTAGGAGTTAGTATTAGGAATATTACTAATATTTTTAACTATCTCCATATGAATATTCAAGGCATATTAAAGCTTTTAGCCATAAAAATCGTTTCTCTATTTTGTCTCCATATTTATTATATATTACTTGTATAATATTTAATTCAATTACACCAAATTCTATACAATGCTCTAAAAATTGTATAAGAGAGACAAGTTCAAGATATAGAAACCTTATGCACTGAATATTATTCTATCAATGGGCAACATAAAGTTCCTATGCACTTATTGTAACACACCCTTTGCTAGCCGAGGCTCTATAAACAGACACTTGAGATGCCAACATAAGGTAGATCCTTATCCATATAGAAATCTACCTTTTGAATGCAACGTTTGCAGAAAAAAGTTTTCTTGTAAAAATTCTTTAAGAAGACATCTTAACACGCTACATAAACCATATGAAAGAGAGGAAATATTTATATCTGTAATACCTCGCAGTGACTTTGTTTTATCCTCATCTTTTGAAGATTTAGTTGATAGCATTTCTGACGAGTCAGATGTTATCCCAAAACCAGATTGTGGCCGCCAACCCAAATATCATATCGCTGTTTCTTCAGAATCCTATCCAGTTTTACATGATCATTCATATGACCAACAATTAGATATACATTTGCAAATAATTCAGGATGAAAAGCCAAAAAATACTGAAAATAAAGAAACAGGTAGAATATGATGAATATTAATAAACTGCCGAATGTTTTATTAATACTAATATATGTAATTCACATTGGATTTTAGCTTTAAGTCTATTTGATCATAACTATTTCGAACAATTGGAAAATGAACACAAAGCAATTGAGAAAGAAAACATATTAGACTCAGGTATTATTTGTTCGATCCAATTAATGATAGATAATATAATTTTGTTTTAATTATTTAGTTAATTTATAATAAGTTTCAGGTTTATTAGATCACAGCTATACAGAATTAAAATGTGATGAACCTGAATTCATTAGTGAAGAAAATTCACAAGGTATTATAATATTATTGTATATTACAATTAATTTTATATTGTAGTAGTGATATTTTTTTAAATAAATTCAAAGTACTATATTCACTCTGCTAAGACATAAGAATGAAAAATAATTTATGGCAATATTAGACTTTCATAAATAATATTTGTAATATAGAAAGTATATTAAAGATTTTTCACATCAAATATTGATAAAATATTATATATTTGTAAAACTGAGAACTTGCGCATATGTATTTTCGATTTTGATATATTTCAATTTTAGATTTCTTTGATCACACATATTTTAAGAAATCAGAAGGTGAAGACCAGCAAAGACAAATTGGTAAATATCCAAGATGCATATATAGCATTATATAAATTTCCAAGTGTTACCAAAGTCATAGTTTCAGAAAATCGAAGAAATATTCGCAAGCAACAAATTATATGTCCAACTGAAGGTTGTGAAGCAAAATTTCGCAGATATGATATGTTGAGATATCACTTATTCTATAAGCACGACATTGAAGTTGAAGTAGAGCAACTGATATTTAATACTTTTGATGGTGAGTACACATTACTCAAGTGTTTTATGATATTAACAAAACAATAAACAATTAAACTAAAATTATTGATAGGAGAAATTTTTCTAATCATGTTTATATCAGTATATTTAATATTGAAAATCATTAAATTGTTGATTCTTCAGATTTTCTCGATTGGAAACAGAATCTTCAACAATATTCACATTCTTCATATATAAAAAATAGTGCGCCGCACCATGGAACCAATGGCAATATCACAATTTTCTATAATTGTCATAGATCTTATTTCTATAAGGAAAAAGCAAAGGTTAGAAAAGCTAAGAAATCTTGTAAAATAGGAAAAGCTTGTCCATCTAGAATAACAGTGCGACAAATTAAGGTTGATGACCAGTTCCAGATTAAAGTAGATTATTGGAGAACTCATGTAGGACATGATCCTGATATTAAAAAAAAATCTCAGAAGAAAAATGTACAAAATGAATTAGCAGGTATGATTTTAGAACGGCTTATTAGAATAATCACTCCTGCATTATCGAAACCCTTTTTTTTTTAAAAAATGATTGGTATGAAAACTTATTAAGACCTTACATTTTTTCAGTAACAGAATCTAGCTAGTATCTTCAACCAAGCAATAGTAGACAATTGAGAAAAGTAAAATCAACAACTTACAAAATACACTTTAAATGAGAAAATAAAAGAAATTAAGAAGGAGCATCTACTAATTCATTTAGTGTATACAAATCAGATGTGTCATATTGATCTCTGTGAGAAATCATTATGCTGTGTTATCAGCAACTTGTAAAATATTGTAAAATAGAAAGAATTTGCAAGATATAGTATGATATAATTTTAATAAAATTATTGATTTAAAAATAGCATTTTATGTTAATAATCAATTTAGAGAAGTACATGATATGCTTTGATGATAAAGCATGATTCTAGTTGTTTTATTGATTTGCGCAAAGCAAAATTTATTGAACTTTTAGAAATTGTTTCTCATGCATGAAAACGTTTTACAAAATGTCTTTTCTGATCTTACCTTGGTTTTTTGATAGTGATAGAAATCTGACACACACAGTTATTATAGCTCGATTGCACATTCTAGAGACTTATAAATTTGTTTCTCAAATATAAAAATTTAAAACTGAAATAGAGAATCATATAAAAAATATGAAAATCTCTTATAAAATATATATTAACATATATACATAGTGTAAAAAATATCAATTTTACATTCCTTCATTCTTTTGTTTTGGGTATTTTTGCAGCCTGTAAGTACGGATTGTCAATATTACTACTGTTTTGAGATTGTTGGATACTATTTTGAGATGTATTAGCACTGTCATTTTTATTTTCAGATTCAGCTTCTTCTTCATTTTCTCCATCTTCTGCAAAATATGACATAAAATAAGAGGTAGATCAATAACTGTGCTCACCTATGTTTTCAATTAAACATTATTGATATAAGTAAAAGAAAAATCCTTAATGAATTTAATTTAATGTTTTGCTATAGCCACATTTGCATGTAGCCTATAAATTCATTATTAGATATTTCAGGAGAATATATACCTTTCTTTGTATCTGGTAAATCTTCAGTTCGATTTGCTACTTGGTAATGGTATTCTAGTTCCTCAAAATCAAATACTTGATCAGTAGGTAGAAGTGGATTCAAGTAAGTAGGAAATACAGGCTTGCAAGCTATCACTAAAAAAGAACAAGCACCTTAATTAAATAATCTCGCACAGCTAAATTTTTATGGCAACTCAACCCTTACTTTACTAAAATGATTAACGTGTTTCACAATCATAATTATATCAGGACAATTGAATCATAGGCTTTTCAATCTAAAAAATCTATGTTGAGAATGCAATCAACTGTGACAATGAATGATAAAGCAACAGCAATATAAACCAGATTCGACCCCAAATTGTTATTGTCTTTACATCAAACTACATTACTTTTATCATCCAATTCCTATATATTCATTGAAGGTGTTCATAATATTTCAATATGGTTAATTTACATGGTTTATAATATCATTTGCAATTGATCAAGATATAAAAAATATAATATAAACAAAATTATTAATTATGTAATTAATAATAAAATTAAATGTTTATAGAATAATCATTTTGAAGGAGAAAATTTCTAAAAATAATTTTATGACTTTTATAAAAATTCTTAGTGTAAAAATGAGAAGATAATCTAATATTATAAAACCGAATATGAGTAAAGTACTTACACGGAAACATTGAATTGTCATCACTATCAAATAACGAATGTGTGCCACTTGTTTTGGCCAAAAACCTTGTCAAAGCCTTTTCTATATCCCGCTTTTGATTCGCTGATTTTTCTCTGATGGCTTCATACTCTGTTACAGGTTGTTTGTGTGTCTAAAAGCAATATATTCAAAATGAGATAAAAAATAATTCAGTAATACATATACATTAAAACTAAAGTTTTTAACCAATTATTTGCTTACAGGTGTCCTTATATAAGCATGAGGATCTGGCAGCGGTGGCAAATGGACAGGTATATATGGAGGGTGTGCACTCTTAACACCAGCTTGCAGAATATTTGTTTGCTTTTGTGCCGTTAAGAGAACTTACAGCATTGTAACATTTCTGTTATAGTATCCAAAGCATCTTTATCAACTGCATCGAATCCCGATTCGTTCAGAATACTCGCTACGACCACTTGCAAAACCTTTCGTTTTGGATTTATATTTACTAAATCCATGATATGATAAGTGATTTTGTTAAATTACAGTAAAAATACTCAGTGAGCTTCCATTCTCAAGTTTCTTTCAACTAGTAAAAACAAAAATGCAACATAAATTGAACTAATTTGAAGTTGTCAAAGTTGTGCAGAAAGTTTGTCCAACCGTCAACAGAAAACGCCCGTATTAAAGATACCAACCAAAAGAAGGAGAAACCAATCCTAGACAATATAACAATGAAGGATGTGGAAAATCATTAATCAAAGGATTCAAAAAATGCTTTTGTATATATTCATTCACCATATAGAACTCGCGTTTGTATAAAAAATATAAATAATAAAATAATAATTTTGTCTATAAAAATAAATAAGTAACTAAAGCTCAGCCTATCGAGGACGTTGATTTGCAAATATGTCTTGTAAGTTTTATATAGAAAATACACATTTGAATCATAATAATAAATCAAACCAGATATAATTTGCATTTTGTCTTAAGCTAAGTTGTAGAAACATACTGATATGTATAAACAATCGACATGATAAATAAAAAATAAGATTTTGCAGCTACTAAAGTTGTTCTAAGAGTTTGACTATTGTTCCAAGAGATTCTCTCTTGGATTTCTCAATATTTTATTTAAATAACATTTATACAATTGTATAATTTTAAACTAGTGTAAAATTATACCATTAATATAGTAAATTTTTGATTATTTAAATGTAAAGTATTATAATAAAATTAAGAAAAAAAATATCAATAAGACTATCAAACAAATCATGTATTTTTTTGAAAAAACCATGATCAACATGGTCGTACAATTAGGATTGTCACAAAACTTGATAACAATTTTAGCAATATTTTCATATATATTTTAGTTTAATATATAACATTTAGTATATGATTATATTTTCTAACATTTCATATAATATTTATATGCTTATTCAGTTATCACATTAAAATATTTCTGTTATACATATATGTATAATATGTACAACGTTATAACAATGAATGATGTAAAATATTTTATATTAGAGACAAAAATGTTAAAATTTGTAACAAATAGGATAACCATCTGGTGTTGAGATCATTTAAAACTCACTTTAAAAATTGATCAACAAGTATTCATACAAAAATATGTTTTTGCAAAATTAAATTTTGAGTAACCTATATAATAACATTTTATAATAAATTTGAAAATATGTTTTTGAATTGCCAATGATTATGGCAAATCAAATATATTCACATATAAAATTATCACCATCCATTTCATAGTATTATATTATCAATATATAAATATTACATATACTTTAAATATAAATTTGTATGATATACTATGTATATCTCATCACGTACACCAAAACACTAACAAGATGAAAAATGTAGAAGAGTATGTTGAAAAAACAATAGCAAAACACTTTTTCGAATTTGTTATCATATTTTTCCAAATAGAGCTCGTATAAAAAATCAAATCAAAATGTCTTTCTTAAAGCTAAAAACTTGAACTGTTATTTATGATGTCACGAAAATTTCAAGTTACTTAGGATCAACTTTTATGGAACTTCGCTTTCCGCAAAAAAGAAAGACGATAAAGGATTTCCATTCCTTAAAAATTAAAAAAATTAAAAAAAAAAATAAAAAAAAAATCATATTACAAAACAATAGAAGTTAGTTACAAATAATAAAAAATAAAAATGTATACCTAGACAAAGCAAAAATTTAAAGTAATGTTTTAACAGAGATAATTTGAACATACTTTAATCTAAGATTTGATATTAATTAACAGAGAAAATATTTAATTATTTATTTATAAAAAAATCTAAAAAAATCAATTTTCAAGTTTAATAAAGAGTCCGACGATGAGATACAAAATTGTTTAAAGAATATGAGTCTCGATTAAGACTAATTAATAAATTTACATAAGATATTATTTCCTAACAATTGCTCATACCAATTTTCAACAGTGAGCCTTTTTACTATTTTGCATCGATAATATTAATATTTTATAGCTAAACGTTGATTTCAAAACATTGGCCCCACGTTGGCCAATGGCCAATTTAGCATAAAAAACAATAATAAATAATATAGCATATATTTTCATCAGCCCTTTAACATCTAAATTGCATTAAATCGCTGGTTAAGAGTAAAATTTATTGAAATTGAAGTTGGTATGATATTTAATATACATTATGCTACTGAGTTCTAACAAAAGAGTCTTCTGTTAAAATAAAATAAAGAGAAAAAAAGCACTTGGTATCCTAATTTATCAAATAATGTGATGTAGAGAGATTATATTTGCGTTAATAATATGCTCTAAATTTTGCATCGTCGTTGGTTTTTATGTAATATGAAATTAAATTATAAGCAAACCTACATGAAATAAAATGTCTCTTATGTTAGTCCACAGTTCACAGATATTTTGCCTTAGTGGTACAAAATGTTCAGTTTGGTTTTGCGTTTGCTGTGTGAAGAAAATAATAAATTAAAAATTATAGTCAATACATACAAATTTTTATAAATTAAATTTGTGCAAATAAAATAACCTGTCTCACAAGAAATGTAAAAACACAAAACTTAATATTTAATTAAGTAGGATTGATTGGAGTTAACAACGCATGCGACATCATAATATCGGTATATTTTACTGCTAATTAGAAACAAGTGCATTCTATTTAAATGCTAATCGAACAATTATTGTAGGTTATACTACAATAATATTCTATTTAGCCATTACTGTAGAAACACGCATTAAATGCATTAAAAATCAACATACATGCACAATCATAAAAGTTCTTCTGTTAAAATAAATAAAGAGAAAAAAAGCACTTGGTATCCTAATTTATCAAATAATGTGATGTAGAGAGTTATATTTGCGTTAATAATATGCTCTAAATTTTTGCATCGTCGTTGGTTTTTTATGTAATATGAAATTAAATTATAAGCAAACCTACATGAAATAAAATGTCTCTTATGTTAGTCCACAGTTCACAGATATTTTGCTTTAGTGGTACAAAATGTTCAGTTTGGTTTTGCGTTTGCTGTGTGTGAATAAATAATAAATAAAAAATTATAGTCAATACATACAAATTTTTATAAATTAAATTCGTGCAAATAAAAATAACCTCTCACAAGAAATGTATAAAAACCAAATTTATTTTAAGTAGGATTATTGGAGTTAACAACGCATGCGACATCATAATATCGGTGGTATATCATTATACTGCTAATTAGAAACAAGTGCATTCTATTTAAATGCTAATCGAACAATTATTGTAGGTTATACTACAATAATATTTATATTTAGCCATTACTGTAGAAACACGCATTAAATGCATTAAAAATCAACATACATGCACAATCATAAAAGTAGTTTCTCAATATATCGAATTTCAAAGACAATTTTGGTAATCGAGTATTTTGAGTAAAATTAGTTTGAGATACTATTTTATAAATATTAACATAAATATGTGCATATTTAAATTATTATCTAGAATACCGGGTAAATCTGACAACAATATCACTTATGCACCATTTATGTGATTATTTAATTCTTAACACCTCAACAAAAATCTAACTTTCAAAGAAAGATACTGTTAAATAAATTGATAATTTGATAATTTAGTTTAGCGCAGTTTTCTCAGAAATTTCTTGAAACCTGATGTATGATCGCAATACATTAAACAATTACAATTAGTATAAATAAAAAAATTAGGTGTATTATTTTAAATGTAATATTTTTCTTGTTCAAGTTAATAAAAAAAATATGACCAATTATATTATACGTTGATGCACTTAACTGCTAAAGAAAAGCCACGTAAATTATTCATGTGGAACCATGATAAAGATTATTAATTAAATTATGATAAATAAAATATTATTAATTAAAAAAACATGTAAACTCTACAATCAGATCATTTTAGTCAGATTCTTCCTTATAAGCTCCCTATAAGCATTCGATTCCAAGCCCTCCCCATTCCCAATGCATTTCTTTTAGGCCAAATATTGTGACATACCAAATAATATCAGCAAACAAATTAATATTTAAAATAAATGTTAATTCACGTAGAAATTCAGATCATTTTGGCTAGCCTCTTCCATATATATATCATGCAATTGATTCCCAATGCATTTCTTTTAGGCCAATAAATTATGTGACATACCAAAAAATATCAGCAAAGATTAGTATTTAAAAAAATGTCAATCCATGTAAATTCTATATTCAAACCATTTTGGCTATTCAAACCATTTTTGGCTATATTATTCCATATAAGCATCATGCAATCGACTCCCAATGCATTTCTTTTAGGCCAATAAATTATTGTCACACACCAAAAAATTTCAGCAAATAAATTAATATTTAAAATAAATGTCAATCCATGTAAATTCTATAATCAGATTATTTTGTTAGATTTTTTCATATAATTCTATATAAGAATCAAGCAATCGAATCCCAATGTATTTTCTTAGGCCTATAAATTATCGTGACATACCAAATAATCCCAGTTAATATCAAATTAACGTTATAAAATATTTTTTTAAAGAATGAGATTATGTTAGCTTCGATGATGAAACACGTAACAGTCAAGTTAATATTTATGATTATATCATATTAATGATAATGGCAACAATAATTACTCTTCATCGACTCGATGAACAAAGACTTTGATTTCCAAATGTGGGGGCGGTGGGTTGAATACGGGTTTTCCGTCTTTGATGTACTGTGCATATGGCAAACTGTAGATGGAATGGAAACCGAGCCTTTCTGAGATAAGGGCCGTAAAATGGCTCGTACAATCCACTCGCAACATTTCAACGGCGTGATCTTTAGCATATTCGCTGGAATAAAAGATAAATTATAATTAGAAATTAAATACATAATAGTGGGTCTTTTTTACCCTGGATACCACTTATTGATCCGCCTATAGAATAAAACACACCAGATAAAACATTTTAGAAATTCAACAAAAGCACATATTTCTACGATGATGCGAATTTTACTGAACATAGTTCGATAGTTGTTCGATATGTATTACATGTTGCAATGGAGTTCGTTTAGTTTTCAGAGTATAATTACTAACTAAATGTCAAATTAGACCTTTGTGTCCCCCTCTACACATATATAAAAAAATGCAACCAAATTAAACCGTAACTTTCGAGTTAATCGAAAAATCTAAATCAATCCTATCGATTTTTATATGTGTAATTTCATATCTCTAAAAATAGCTTACTTGTTTATTAGTACCCAAAATTGAATATACGATTTTGTATATTAAAGCAATATTATTCAAAACTATATCAATTTTTAATAAAACTAGTTGTGTATGGCATCGTGCCTTAAGGCAAACTGCTGGAACTTCCCGTACCGTAACATCCCGAAATATTAAATGTTTTCACATAGATTATTATAAATACTGTAACATTGTCTTATATTTATAATAGTTATATAAATACTGAATTACAAAGTATAAATTATTTATTTAAAATAAATAAGTAAGCTTTAGAACTTTAGCCAGAATTAAAATTAAAATCTGAATTATTTTCGATACACAAAAAAAATTGAAGTAATTTTTTTCCAAAAGCAATTATTTTGTCAAAACAAGCAGAAAGTTTTTTGAATCATTCAAATTAGATGATTAGTTTCAAAAACTTCTATTTTTTGCACATTTAGCCTGGTATCTCCGAAAAGGGTGGATTTGCCAAAAATCAGCACATCTCCCTATCAATAACAATCAAATATTTTTCGAATCATTCAAATCGGTTGTTTCATGCACCTAAAAACGTGGACGACAAATTGTATTCATACATACATACACACACATACACACACACTTCCATTTTTTCTGAGGTATGCCAACATGTTCAAAAACCTTCTTAACGTGAAAAAATGTAAAAAAATTCAATTTCGATTTTTGGACAATTACAATAACTTACCCAACGGGAATTTAAAATATCTCAAAAATAAATCAATAATCATTACTTTAAAAATAATTTCAAAGAATAATTCATTTGAAACACAGAAACACATAATAATTCATTATGTTTTTTGATTTTTTTTTTAAACGTTCGTTTATAGAATAGGCTGTTCCATTTTCAGGACAGTTAGCAAAAACACTCATTCCAATAAAGGGCACAAATTTTTAACATTTAACAATAAATTTTTGTAAGTAATTTTATAATTGATATAGAGAAATCACTCGGTCTGAATAAAATTAGAAAAACATATCAAATTTCATATCTTTTAGTATTACAGTGATTATTTTAATTAAAAATAATTATTTCGCTATCTTAGGATGAGCTTTTATAAAAAAGTACCAAAATCTGGTAGGGGTAGCTTGGCCCGTCATTTTGGGGATTGAAGAATATTTTTCATATGAAATTATTGATGTGAAAACATAGAGTTATAGCTAATACCGACGTTTCATTTAAGTTATTTATAATATTAAACATTGATTGATAATTTTAAATTCGACTCACGCCGTGGCATCAGTAAGCGCCCTGGCAATTCCTCTGCCTCGCCAATTGCTATCGACCGACAGTATTGATATGTTCAAAACACGTTGCACATCAGGAAATTGGCCAAAAACATTGGCTTCTTGGCTCACATGGTGCAGGAGGGCAAGAATCTTGGCGAATTTTGGATTTGCGCAGTCCTTGGATGGATCCGATATCGTAGCTGCATCCTAGATTAAAAAAATCATTTTATATAATAGAAGAAAATTATAATTAATAATTTTTTTTTACAAAAGTAAGATGAGTCAAAGTAGTCTAAATGCAGTTCATCACAATTGATCTTCAAAATTAACTTTGAAATCATATTGCGGTTGACATTCACGGTTTTACTTCCATGACAAGAATAATTATTCTTATATCATACAATTTTATAAACTTTGATCACATGGCAACAATTATAGTGTTATGGTATAATCTCAGGTATAATTAAACAAAAAAATGAATATATACATATAATTTATTCATTTCCAGATATTTCATTTCGCAATTGCATTGTATATTATAATCTCCATTCTATGAAATAATAAATTCTGATTTCAGGATATGAAAGTTGTTTTATTCGAATCAATCGGATTACTTAATAAATTGCATTCAATTGACATTTTGACATGCCTTTCTTATCATAGATTTTAATTTTTATTATATAAGAATAATTCTTAGAAATGATTAATGTTTGTTCATTGCTTTTTATCATCTCTGTAATCGCACGATTACAGGTTGTTGCTAACTCCGATTGCTTTCAGTAATATGAGTAATAGCAACTTAGGAAAATAAAAATTAAACCTTTGTATTTGAACTAAAATATTTATGTGTAATAATAAATTTAATAATTTTGCTTACTTCTCTTTCAGTAACACAGTTTATGACAACACCGACGAGCTCACCGCGTTCACTCACAGCCATTAAAGAAACTCCTTTTTTCATAGATGTCAATGCATATTCTTCTAGTTCTATACATCTGAAATAATAAAAAAAAATAAAAAATACAAAACTAGCACGACTCTGAATTCAAAATTTTGATTTATAGCGGACTATGCCAAAAATAAAAAATACTGGAGATCAAATGGCCACCGGTCTCACGTGTTGTTGGTCACCAGGAATAATTTTGGCCATTGCAAAAATATTGCTTTGACAATCCAAATTAGTGAAATTTTAGATTGCCAAAACATGTACTTCTTAAAAGAGTACAAAATTAAAATGTGACATAAACGTTTTTCATATTTTAATATGCATCGTTTTTAAAATATCGTTAGACTCCAAAACATATAATGATCATGCAGCTTAACCCTTTTCTTACACTTGGGGTCTACTGGACCCCAACGTTACCTTTCACGAGGTCGCCCATTTCCGAGCATTTTCAGACTTTTAAATTTATTCTACCTTCAAAGATTTATGCTGTAGCATTGTAAATAGATCAAAATTTATTTTCATTTTTTATAATTTCGTTGAAACACCGCTGGGGTCTCCTGGACCCCGTATGAGAAGCTTTAAATGCGAATTTCGAAGCAAAAATTGTAACTAATTTTCTTCTCAAACTAAACAACTAATCTTCTCTCTTTTTTATATATGTAGCAAATATATATTATTACATAAAAAATCTGGTGATTTTCAAAAACGTTACTGTTTAAAATCGGCTGCGCCTTAATTTGTCATGTTATAAAGATATCTCAGCCTGAAATTTGGAATATGATGCAGTAAATGAAGTCACAAATGAAACTTGTAATGTTTTCTTCGATAAAGTACTTCATATTAAAAATAATTTTTTGAAAGTTTTACTCTTAATTAAACCAATACTAAGAAATATAATTGTTACCAAAATTAACACCAACCATATTATATTTTTCATTACATATATAAAAAGTTAAATATTACAAGAAAGTACAACTTGCATGTGCTTGATAATAAAGTCAAATTAAAATACTATTAATCATACAATAAAGCAACACTCAGAAATTACTTTTATGAAAACTTAATTGTTATTAAGATTAATGTGTTTTGTCACTGCTATTTTCCTATTAATTAATACGCATTAGTTTAGTTGAAAGAATTAACAAGAGCGTTTAAAAATTTTCAATGCATTGTAAATTTATTTGAATCGTTATTGATAGTTTTTCGCAACCAAATAATAATTGAAGAATAAGAATAAATTAAAGTGCTATCAACAATACAAATGTAATATAGACTAAAGATAGTTAAAAGTATTTTACTTTAATTAATTTATTTACCACTGTGAAGATTATTGGCTTAGCTAATGGATTGGATATACAAAAAAACAATGATTACTCTTACTGTCAATTCCTCTCGCATGAATCGGTATCCCGTCAACCTTGAGGGACGATTTACAAGTTATTGTTAATTCAAGAGTTCAAGGGAAAGATAACGATAGATGATCACATTTAACACCTTAATAATTTTTGAAACAATAAAATAAATTGCGTTTGTAACTAGTAACTGTAACTTTCGTTATAAAATTTAATTAACACGGAAACACCATATCAAACAAAAATCAAAACTATCAAATCCAGAGTCAGGAACCTTTATTGGGCTTATAGAATATAATTCAAAATTAGCACTTGTAAACAAAATCTTACAACGATAATAAGAAATTTTTATATCTGGTCATATAAGACAGAGCTTTGGCGCTGCTGTAGCAAATCTAATCGGAATTGGTACTGCCCAATCAAAACTACTTAAAATGATGAGAGGTGCACCCTGGTACGTGAAACAATAGAACTCGACTCGATTAAAGACTTTTTAAAAACAAGATTCACTAATCATCATCATAAATAGAAATTCAACCCAATTCACTTGAACTCAGAATTTAGAAGACTTGAAAAATTATGGCCTATTAACTGGATCCAATAAATTCTATCTGATAGTAATCATCTACTGGGGTAACTACTACTATCTATAGTTATATTTAATTTATGTAAATTAAAATAACTCATAGGATGTAAATAATTGTTTGATTGTTATTGATAAGAAAAACTAATGGTGCATGGCATAGTGCTTTAAGGCAAATTGCTAGATCTCCCGTACCTTAATTAGATATTAGAGGAATATTAAATGCTAAATAGATTATTATAAACAATGTAACTTTCATTATTCTTATTAAAAAAAATAAACAAAACTTAATCAATCGGATTTAAAATGATATCTCTAATATTTCTAAATATTATATAAACCAATGAATTGCAAAATTAAGATTATTTATATGAACTTTAGCTGGAATTAGAATTAAAATCCGCTTTATTTTTCAATATTCAAAAAATATTTTTAAATTAAACATAAAATTAAAATAAAAAAAAAATCTTTCCTTAAAAGCAATCATTTCGTCAACACAAGCAGAATTTTTTTAAATCATTCAAATCGGACTGCCTTTGCCAAAATCTAATCACCGCTTCTCCTCATCATTACAAATCAAATGTTTTTTAGATTATTCAAATCGGTTGATCCGTTCCTTTAAGACCCTGACATATTTAGTACTTTTTGCTCCATATTTCCGAAGCCGCTGGACCTGTCTTCGTCAAAAACTAATCGCGATAGCCAAATCGCCCGATTTCAAAAGATTGCTGGTCACATCTCATGTCGCCTCATGTGTCTTCTATTTTCAATTAGTATCGTTAAAAATATCTACAAAATATTTATTACGAAATTTTTAGAAATGAATAAAAATTAACGTGAATAAAAATAGTATTGAAACAAAGGTGCAAATTAGCAATTATAAAAATAATATTCAGCAATTATTCATTATTCGATCAGCTGATAATTGATTATCTATTACGCAAAGACGTTTATAAATACCAGTTTAGCTCGAAATATGAATAATAATTAGTATTTAACGATTGCAATGCAAGTTCATACATATAATTAACCGTATGAATTAAACGCTTGCAGAATAAAGCATAATGCAAGCGATGTCTGCAAGAGAACCTTGAAATCGAGCACGCAGTGGCTGATGTCGATAATATTATGAAATGAGTGATCATTTCAATAAATCTGCGATCTGAAGTTCTAGGTCACCCTCATTATGCAGCCGGTATGAATTCTACGACCGTCTTGCTTGGTGCAGTTTACGGAAAACTAGTTTTGTAAATATGAAATAATAAAACTACTGCTGCCGTGACGAACAGATGATTGGCAAATCGATTGTCAAGTGCAAGGCGAAATCGCCCACACCAGATTTAGACTCATTATTGGTCTTGAAACTATGAAACTAGATATTTATGCATAATGAAGTGATTAATGAGAAATTCAGAGAAATTAAATTATTCGAAATGCAATTCATTTCGATACCAAAGTTTCTATGATACTTCTGAGTTTGCCAATTTCGATATCAAACATTAGTTTGACAATGAAATGCCTACTGATAATATTTGATGCTTTTTTCCAACAGTTACAATTATTTTTGCCTTTTCCATACTTTTTCTAATTTTCATTCCAAATTATTTTAACGTTTTTCTACACTAAGTATTTTATCATTACAATTATTTTCATATTATATTCTTTTTTTGATGCAATAATTATTATTTTCCAGATATGGGACTCAAATAAAAATTAACAAAACGTATATTTAAAGGATTTTTTTACCATCAGAAAAATCTCAAGATCTACAAGCCTTAAATAAACTATCTCAATATTATAACATTTTTTCCTCAAGTTATTGTATTAGATAATACTAATGTTAGGCTTAATCATAATTAAACAAGTATAATGTATAAAGTATAATGGGCTTAATATTGTTAATAAGTATGAAGTACAATGGGCTTAATATTGTTTTAGAGTTGTAGTTTACCCTAATTAATTCAATTCAGATAATTTATTTTCTGTAATTACTAAATTTAATCCTGTATCCGTAATATAAATATAAATAAATAAATAAATTGACAATTTCATTATGATTGATATTTCATTCATAATAAATGCATGTTTAAAATACTGACATAGCAAACTAGCTGATTTGATGCGGTCGTTTTTGCTTAATGTCTAGTTAAATATTAAACATAAAGGCTAAATTCACATATTTTTCTGTGGTATTAAAAAGATGTTTGTATGGTGAAAAATTCGAATGCAAACATTCGACATGAAAATTTCGGTGGTCCATGTTTTAAAGACTGACAACAAACATTAAAAAAATAACATTCAATACTCAACCCAAATATAAGGTATGCTAGGATATATTTTTAACGATACAATCTTCATTAAATAAAAAGTAATAAAACGAGGCCTAATTTAATGTGGTGGAATACAGAAATCTTAAAAGCCTTGGATTTGTAAATGGCAACCCATTCTGTCTCTATGTGATGAATCTACTATTACAAAGTCTATTTTCACTTGGAAACATATATTATATTTATATTTTCAAATAAAACACTGCTGCTTGACATGAGGATGTCCGAGGCGGATACCATCGAACCTCTAGTTCAAAATTCTGCTTTTTCCACTGTTTCATAAATACTTAATATTCTATTGAGCAACCGTGGAACTCAATGGAATATTAAAGCAAAACAATTTTAAATTTTTCGGAAGCTATTTTTGAATTTTGTAGTTCTTCATTTTGAGAAAAACATTAAGAATTGTTATTAAATTATTGTTAATATGTACTGTATTTGTTGTTATAAAATATATAAAAACTAATTAGGCTTCAAATATGAATACTAATGATCAAAAAATCTTTATAAAGTTGATTTAAAAATATGAGTTGAAAGTATATGCTTCAATGTTATCTAAAATAATGTACATAAAGAGTTATCTTTATCGATACGACTTTAAAACCACAAATAATTTAAAAGTTTCAATTATGATTATTAATGGCATTCTAATAATGTCCAAGCAATATGACAAAGAAAGGTGAATACATTAATTTCATATAAAAATCATATAATACTTTTAGACTATAATGAAGTTTATGATTATTTACCACATAACTAAGTCTTATCGTTTGTAAACTAATTGTAACTGCTCAATCAATCACTTCTGAAGTCAATAAAAAGTCGTAAATTTACTACCGCGATGATTAATAACATTGATAATACTTTAATGTCGAACATTTCAATGCGAATAAAAATATCTTCAAACGTTTCTTGAAAGTTTATTTCGACTTCGTTTTATTTCACTGCCCTTTAGACCATGAACCTCACAAAACATGTTTTTTATTTCACTCGAGATTGAGCCATCATTATTCAAAATATGCGGAAATAATAAAGGTCTGCAAAAAGTGTCATATATAAAATTTAAACAAACTATTAGGGACTATTGATTAGGTATTAGTAAAAAAATTCAAGGGCATCTATTTTAAAATATACCTTGATTAATTTTTTAATGTTATTTGAATAAACAAAATGAATTTGTTGAATTATGAGATTCGTGTTATAAAAAATATATAAATTCTCGTAAAATTTCAGTAATACCTTCGTTTGAAATTTTAAAGAATTTTTTTTAACTCATTCGCAAACTGAAGTTGATTTATTTAATACGATCAATTTTGAAAATGTCATTTCGTCTCATTTAATTCCGTAGGAGAAGAAGTTTGTTTTCGCGACAAAAACTGATTTGATAATTTCATGTTTTCTCGACGTTTCAAATTAATCCGAATCTGAGGTGATGTGACCCCATGAAAATTTTCATTAGTCAGATTATTTAATTATTATAGAGTAATAATAATTAGTTTTGAAATAAAGTATAAACTTGCAAAAAAGATTCTACCTTTAATTTTACAATAATCTAGTAAGAATCTGGTGCAAACCTAATAAGCATCCACCTGGAATCCAATGAGAATTCAGCACAGAGTATAAGATGATTCTAATAAGAGACCAATAAGAATAACTGAAGAAAAATTCGAAAGTAAACTAAAAGAACTAACGTAAAATAGTAGTGCTAGTAAATAAATAAATTCAACAAAATTTTGAATTATGGGCTGCGTTTTTAGGACATACAAGAGCGTATTTGTGCATTATAATTAATATAATTACAAATATTATAAATGTGTTTAAGAGATATCAATTGGAAATTGCATAGATCAGTTTTTAGAAAGAAACAGTTTTTTTTAAATAGCCCAACTTCAATTTTGATTGATCAAATCAATTATTACACATGTCGGGAAATTCATGCAAGTTGTCACTTACATCTTTTTGCCTCATTGTAGCTTTGAATTAACATCCGCTTGTTAAAAATAAATGAATGATGAAAATATATATTGCAAGTGATATTTGAACCGTTTACATCAAAAATTCATTAAAACTAGTTACTGCTGCAATTAAATATAAACTCGCACAGTTTCATCATATTTATTAACAAATATTAGAATATAAAGCAACCGCTTCTCTTATACTATTTCCCTCGCATTGTGTTTTCAAATTCTTTGGTAAATAATTTAAATATTAATGAAATCGATCATATTAATAAGAGAGTAATTTTGATAATTAGATTACTTAAATTGACTTGTTTAATTAATCAAAAGCTATAACAGTATAATAATAATATTATTTTCATATGAAAATGGCTACCCAAGTAATAATAATAAACCATTTTTAATAATATCCTAATCCTTTTGGTAATAAATGGAAGAAATAAATAGCAATGATATCGTTATATATGGAGAAATGAGAAATGGAGCATATATGGCGTAGATAAATTGATAGTACTCCACAACTTCTATGCTAGATCAAATCTACTATCAAAAAATTCCGCCAATTTATCTTTGCTTAATTTATATGAAAATTCGACATCAGAACTGCTTGATGTCGGAATTGGCCATGGCTGGGATCGAAAGAGCCACTGGACTAGTTTGTGCTATCCCACGTCCGAACTGATTACGCCACCACTGGGCACATATGTATGAAAAATATGACAATTTTTCCCAATAATGACAAGAGTTATAATTTTCACTTACCGGTCATCTTCTTTCGATAGCAGGCCCATGTTAACATTGAGCGGTTCGTCCCTGAAGAAGTATTTCCTGAGGTGTTCCAGTGCTCGTTCGTGATGTTCAACTGTCAAAGGCTGAATACTGTACGCCTCTGTGGTGATGGCGCCAGAGACGGACTCCATCCTTTTTGTAAGGGCGTGCCCGGCAGGCTGCTGTTCTCGGGACTCATTCTGTATTCCACCAGGTGACATTATGGACAAACTTGCCAAATTTGTGGGCAGTGCGTCTCCCAGCTATAACAGAGATTAATTTTTTATAAGCAAAAATTGAACTGATTTTATTTCTCATCATCCAATAGGGAAAAACCAGTGAAATGGCAAGAGTTGAATGTAATAAATAAAAGTATACGTCGATGTCTTTTGTTGATGTTCAATGTTCTACAAATAACTTGAATCAAGTAAAATTGTAAAACTATGTGCATTTTCTAGAAAATGAAGCAGAATAAAGTAAATTAATGAATTAATTTCTTGCAGTGTTTTTTTTTATTTTTTGGAGGTGAAATGTATGTCTATTTAATTGATATTTACTGTTTTTGTTAAGTGTCTGTATTGGGGTAATCTCTCTTTGCCATGGGGGTAATATCAACTTAGATAAAAATAATTTGGGGTAATGACTAAAAATGTTTGTCGACCGCTGATCTGATACTATAGATAAAATATTTTGAATATCTAAACTAAAAATATTTATATATGAATATATTTATTTATTTTTCTAAATTATCTTGGTTATTAAAAAAATAGTTTTATGGGAGAAGTGACTAACTAACTTATTATTATTAAAAATATTAAATACATAAATCAATACCGGATATAGAAGAAATCATTTATTATACCTATTACTTATACCTAGTACCAAGTACTTCAAATTAAATTAATTATTAAGGTTATTTATATACAAAAATTAATTATTCTAGTTATATTTTTAATATTCTTTTTGAAATACTATAATAGACATAACTCAATAATAACTATTCTATATATAGTTTTATGTCTATTTTCAAGAATTTGTTTGAAATGTGATTTCTTGTTCGAGTAATAAAATATCTATTTTTGCAATATTGAATATTGAAACAAAACTGTGTTCGAAAGATCGAATACTAAAATATAAAATATAAATAGCCAGTAATTTTTGAAGTAATTAAAATATGAAATTCCGTTAAGTTTTTGATGGATTCATAAAAGATATATCACTTTAATAATTGATCTTAGAATTATGCAATTTTTTTTGTACGATAATAATAAGAAAAATATAATAATATAATAATAAGAAAATAATTGCAATGTGAACTAATAATCACCAGAATTAAGTTTTATTAAAATTTTTATTAATTTATTCTGCACATGTGTTCTTAAAATTTTAATATAATATGGACGAAGAATATAAATTCTTAGAGTTGAAGTAATTTTGGTAGACTTTACACGTAGTTATCAGTTTAATCTAATTACACTTTTAATTAAATTAAATATAAGAACTCAAATATTAGTCTAGAATTTGTAAGAAATTCTTGAAAAATAAAATATGCAAAACAAAATTCAAAATGTAACATTTGAGTTTTTTTATTGATATGAACTATTTTTTGCATTTTAAATAAAATATAGAGATCAGATCACACAGAACATTAGTTCAAAATTTGATGATCGTTATTATTTATCATCAAAAAGCCTTCGATCAAAATAGAAAATCAACAAACAGATAAATATAAAGTTTTAATAAACATCAAGAAGCAACATCAAATAGAACTCGAGAGCAATAATATAGAGATATTCGTTGGTTTCCGAATAGAATAAATGTTTTGGATAATCTCCAAAGAAGCTGAATTAATATTAGTATCAAATGTTTATATTAGAAAATATATGTCCCACATTTAATTACTCGTGGATACAAAAATTGTAAACAACTTCTAAAACATGAAAACCATTTGCTCAATAAAAACTATCGACAGCCTGTTTTGGCGTCTGGTCAAAATCAATCACAATCTGAGTATTATATGGAACAACAGTTGATATATATTTAAAACATTATTATCAAATTTATATAATTTATTTTCTATATTATGCGCTTGAAATAATTTATATATAAATTTTAATCGATACCAACAGTTATTTAATTGATGACGCATTTAAACAAATTATTAGGCTGAAGAGTTTCATTTTCAAGCAAATATTATTACGTAATTTATATACATATTGAACGGCGATATATTTATAATATGTTGATATGATATAATGATTTTTTCTACATATTTTTAGTAGTTTTAGTAAAATTTTCGCAAATTTAGTCGGCCATAGTTGGCGACTCTATAGTACCAAGAGATTATTTTCTAATCAAATCAATTTAAGACTAAATTGTTTAAAATTTATTTTCATTTCTTTAATTATTTTGCATATATATAATATGTACCTGTTAATAATCTTCAGAAAAATAAATAAATACTTGATCTGGTTTAAATACATTCGTATCTATGGAGAGTAGGTATATATTATTATTTTAATAATAATATTTAAATGTTTACAAATCGTTTCGAATGTGAGTATTTGTACTTGGAAATGAGTTTTGAATTACAATTATGACAAATCATAAATCGCGATAGACAATTCTTTTGGAGTTAATATTATTAACAATTACTAACAAACACGGTTATTAAAAAATTATTAGTTTTATGGGCGAAGTGACTGACTAATGAAACTTTACTAACAACTTATATAATGTTAGGCATGGTACTATCTATAAAAATGAATAAGAAAAACAAAATTAGAAAATAAAAAGTAAAAGATTCGATCATATCAAATAAAATAAATTTAATATTGCACTGATATCATAACGCATTAAATATAAATAAACAAAAAATGTTTTTTTAAAGAACTAAAGATTAAATCAGCATTCATTAATTTTAGACCACCCCCATTAACTCCAATACAAAAACAGTTTTTAAACAACTTCTAAATCTGATATTTCTATATTACGAAAGTAATTAAAATTGGTAGCAAAAATATTTGTTAAATCCAGAATAAATTTTTATCTCATTTACGTAAGTCCATATTATATATTTGTATTTCATGTCAATAATAAGATGACCATTATCTGGTATTGAAGACCTCTGTTTGGTCTTCGCTTAAAATCGCACTCTTGTGTTAACTCCTTATATAAATAATATTTAACAAACAATTAAAATGCATATGTTTTACGAAAACATATTTCGAGATACTTAATATTGTGTGTAAAATTTTATGTCATCAAGAGATCTACTATTTGGATTATAAAGAAACTCCAAAGATCAAAATACTAAGAAAATTAGTATCTAAGGTTGTAGTTTGTACAAACAAATATTTTATTTTAAACTTTATCGTATTTGCATAACATTATTATACGACTGGCATCATTGTTGCATTCGTGAAAACGTAGAATAAATGTTTATGACTTTATTGATTTAAAACGTCATTTAGTGAGCAATAAAACTCTGATATTGACAGTTTAATAACGTGATTGATTCGATAAAATTAATAGCCGTAAAACTCTTTTGGCACCTTTATTTGGGGCATTTCAGTTACTGATATTAAACAAATTGTGTTCTAAAATTAAAATTTAAATGTAGGAAACTCTGTATATGGCTAGTTTGTAAATAAGAGGCTAAATAAAATTTAAAAAAAAATTAAACAAGTTGTGATATGTATCCAAAATGACTTAAAAATGTTCGTTTCGACATCAATATTAGTTAATAATTTTATAATTTATTATAATAAAAAATAGTCACATAGAATAAATTTTTACTAATGTTTGTACCATGTGAAAGCTATAATCATCTTGAAATGAAAGCTATAATCATCTTTATAGAAGAAATCTTTATATTTTTTGATCAAGGAAAGCTATAATTATCAACGGCGGTTTTCAAAAAAGGAAAGCAACCCTGAAAATCTTTATATTTTTTGATCAAGGAAAGAGTACTACTATAAAAAATAATTAAAGAGATATAGTTACAAAAAGGAGAGTATTTTGATATAACTACTAGTATTTTCGGATAGTATCACTTTAGCAGAGAAAACATTACTAGATAAGGAGAAAAACGATCTTTAGATCATTTTATATATTTACAGGTACTTGTGCTGGAACCAATAAAAATCAGTCTTTTTTAACTTCCCTTAGGGTAAGTTTTTGTAATCCTCCAAAAATCAAAATTGAAAATTTTTGCATTTCTTCACGTTTTGAAGTTTTCTCAGCATTATGGCTTACCTCAGAATTTTTTTTTTGAATATATAAAATAATTCAAACTTTAATTTTAGTTCTAGCTAAAGTTTAATAGCTTACTTATGTACTTCAAATTATTAGTTTTAACTTTGCTATTTAGTTTATATAATTCTTATACATATTAAACAATGCCCTTAATTTTGAATTAAATTGATTAAATTCTGTTTATTCACTTGCCTGTGAAGATATAAGTTAAAATATTCATAATAATCTATTTGAAAACATTTAATATTCCTCGAATATTTTATTACCGTACGGTAAGTTCCAGCAATTTGTCTTAGGCCACGATGCCATACACTACTAGTTATTTTAGGCTTTGGATGTAGATATGTTTAAGTAATGTTCTACATATCAAAGTTTCAAAATACGAATTTTACTATAAATTAATTCTATAAAAATCGTTTAAAAAAATAATTTATAAGATATAATTTGGGTTAGTATTATTAACACAATCATGGTAAGTAGATAAGCATATTTTATATCATTTTGTAAATCATCATAATGGAATTGATAAAAATAATTACATTATTATATCAGTCCCATTCTAGAATTGTTTGAAATAACAAATGAGTTACCAAAAAAACATTAAGTTTAAAAATAAGGTCCATACCGTATATCTAGATCTAAGATCTTGAGACGCCTTTTCAAAACTCTCTCCATCTTTAATATTCATAACAGAGGGTTGCATTTGCACTGCCATTTTGATATTTTTTCTCAAAAGCACCTCAAATTGAAAATCACAAGTATAAACCTTTTCTTGTAACCACTTACACCACAAAATGCGAATTTTTTGTTATTTATGCGAAATTGAAATTTTCTCTCGATATTTGAATAGAGATAGATTGGAATCACTTTCTTAAAAATTTCGTTTGCAATTAATTTGGATTCGACCCGCAAACTCGAATAGATGAAGCGAAACTGTACCTCGTATTTGGTACATGCTTGTTTTTATACGTTCGTCCATGTGTTGGTGATCATTGTAAATGTGTGCGTCTTCTGATATGTACATATTTATATAAACGACGACATTTACATACACATATTCTTCAATAGTGGAAGCGACCGAGGGACCGACGTACGCAATTTGACACAGGATATTGTTTATAATGGTCTTATACTACTTATCAATAAAACCTTGAAGTTTAATAAAAAATTGAATTATGTGATCAAGATGGAATTAAGTTGCCGGAAAAAATGGAACAATGATGCACGCCATGCTTCTAGATCTATCACGAGGGGGCTGTGGAAAATTTTTAATACCATCATCACGCCATCTTATGCATAAAATAATTTCTAACTAGTGGAGTATGGCATCGTGCCTTAAGGCAAATTGCTAGTACTTCCCAAATCGTAACAAAATGATCGAGGAATATTAAATGTTTTCAAATAGATTATAATAAATATTGTAACATTGTCTAACATTTATAAAAATTATATAAACTGAATTGCAAAGTTAAAATTTTTCATTTAAAGTATATAAGTGAGCTTTAGAACTTTAGCAGGAATTAGAATTAAAATCTGAATTATTTTCGATATACAAAAAAAAAATTTTTGAAAAAAAAAATTAAATTTTTTTTCCCAAAAGCAATTTTTTGCCAACACAAGCAGTAAGTTTTTTGAATCATTCAAATCGGATGCTTAGTTCTCTCAAAAACTGCCATTTTTTGTACATTTAGCTCCGTATCTTCGAAACGACTGGCCAAAAATTAATCAGCACATCTCCCAGAGAAATCTTTTAAATAAAAATAAATAAAAGCAGAAAATTACATAGCTACACCAAATACAAGAAACAATTCAAAATGTATTTTGTACTTTTAAACAAAGTTACAAAATGAATTCAAAATTTGATAATTAAGTACAAATTCTCAAAAGCTAATATGCAACTACAATTGGGTGTTTTTAATTTTTCGTAAGATAAGTTATTGCAATCGTCCAAAAAACAAAAAATGAAAGTTTTTGCAGAACTTCACGAGATTTTTATTTTAAAAAAACAATATCACGATTCCATAATCACTTGGATAAATATTTATATTTAATATAATTACGATATTTTTAAGAAAATAATCTATAACACGTACAGAATGTAAAAATGTTATGAATTGCATTCACCAAAATTTCATTAAAAATAAGTTAACTTTATTTGAATTAAACTCAGTGAGAATAAGAATAAACCCAGAATTTATATTATTTATAATGAAAATATTATATTTATATTAAATGCCCAAGGAAAATTAATATGACCAAGGAAATAGGTCCATACTTTGACATTTTTGAATTGTGTCCTTTATGGCTGTTTTCCATTTTTGCATAATATATATACAAAGTCTTTTTAATAAATGTAGAGAAAACACTGTTCAGAATAGGGCCCATAAAACGTAAGAAAATAGAAGCAAGTCACAGGTTTTAGAAAAAAATATATAGAAGTCAATTATGATCCAACATTATTAAACACAATGTTAATAAAATCTTTATATGAATTTAATTTAAACATTATATATTTCCAAATATAAATAAAATCTTATATTATGTCTAGGTCGCCCAGTCTAATATGTGCGCTTGCGTATTTCTATTCTTCATTATAATATTTACTACCCATATATTTTTATTTTTCCTCTACCAGCGAAGATTTGTTGCCATTTGTTTGATAGCATATTGGATTTGTTTGCAGTAATTAAAACTTAAAACACAAATAATCGAATATTTGTTTGCTATTGAGCAAAACATCCAAAAACGAATGTTAGAAATCATGATTGCATTTGAATTAATTGAATGATCGAACAGAGTATTCAATTTATGTAAGTTTGTTATAACAATAATGAAACTTTTATTTATTTCGCTTAATCGTCTGTTTTTCTTTTAAAAATTTTAATTTTACAGAACTGATACCAAATATTGTGAATGAATAGAAGGTACTGTAAATAGGTAATTAGTAGTTGTGTGTAATAGCTATTATTTTTTATCTATTCGTCATAACCGTTTATCACTGTCAATTCGTCATCATAACTGCTACTCGGGTATTTAAAACTAATTATAAGATATGAACAACACAATCTTATTATTAGTATTTTTCATTCATTTGCCCGTCAGTTTGTCTTTACAAAGATACAACAATAGTATCACAACCAATTTTTTTATAAACCTAGAAAAATTCTTGTAATTCTAGACAGTTAGTTAAAGGTAAGGAAATTAAGATACAGTAAAAATAAGTCTTATGAAAAATATTTAAAAACTGGAATTTTTATCTAAAAATATATGACTTTGAGGTAATTAAGACATAACATTTCCTAAATTATGCTTTAAGGTTTTAACGTTTATATTAAACCTTTCGACTCGAATGCCACAAAAATCGGCAAAATTCATATAAATCTCAGAACTCGCGGGTGGAAAGTTTTGAATCATTCCAATTTATTTAGTTGTAAATTAGTAAATTTTTATTTTATCAATGAACAGTAGAATAGATGACTAACTTATTAAATACTAATAATTAGTGTTCTGCCCAAAGGCAGGTTCATAGTGTGCGAGCATCGCAAATCATTAATTTTCTTCCCCACCCCTGGTTATTATAATTATTATTATTCTCATTTTCAATTTTCTGCACCAGCGTTTCCCGGCACTGTACTTCGGCTTTCAGATTTCTGTATTTTCTCATTTTGGGGTAAATCATCAATCATCTGCATTCTTCTTTTTTATATTTCTTACAGTCCTTATATTTTACCTTTATGTAGCAGATCCTTTTTTGCGATATGGGCCCGATAGTTTTCTTTTCTTTTTCCAATCGTTCCCAGTAGAATTTTTCTTCTTCCTTTCCATTTATCGATGTGTAGGACAATGTCAGTAAATTATTTTAGTTCATTATACGAGCCTTCGATATAATAAATTTTCCTCGAAAAGTTTGCATAATTTATTCTTGTTGAATTATATATTTTTAAAATATATTATATGAATTAATATATTTTTAAGCACCAAAAATTTGGCAAATAAAATATTACTAGTGCATTGATTAAACTATGATTAAACGCGGCAAACGTTAATTTTAATAATAATCTAGGTAAATAAATAGGGTTTTAACTCAAATTTTATTTCGAATAAATTAAAAATGGCTGTAATACCCACAAAACGTCTTAAAAATTTCTAATTAACAACTAATAAAAACTTTGCTTTGAACGTCATTTCGTCCAGTATTTCTTCCACATGTTACTTCCAGTGAACGGAATTATTCTTTGAACCATCAAGTTCATTTCGAATTTCTCGTGGATAACCCAACAGAACAACCTATTCCGTAGTGCGTCATCAGGGACACGGGCATGCAACAAGTGGAAGCGCACATCAACGACCTACGACAAGTGTAGACGACACAGACGCCGATCTACATAACCATAAACACTTTAGAAGATGACCTGGAGCTACGTGAAATTTTAGAAAAGAACACTTGTAAAATATCTAGTAAGCACATCGGAAATATCGAGTTGGATTTTATAATGATAGTCGATTTATGGTTTTAGAGTTATGTGATAGAAAATGCATGTGAATGTACTTCTATATGCAACAAACATATAATAATACATTTTTGTTTAGCTACTTTATAGGTTTATTTTATTTGACAGCGTCAGAAAGATCACTATCCTGCGATAGCACCTTCTTAGATATGTGTTTTGATGTAGTAAATCATTGCAGATTCTTTTTTTTAAAACGCTTTGGCGGTAAAAGCTTGAGCAGGTCACACGCTTATTAGTTTGGATGACGACTTAGACGAGCTTTGTATCTGGAGCAGTAATGATTAATTTCTTCTTTTATGGTTGGAATTCTGAGATCTTGATGTATTAACCAGTTTGGGATATATTTTGGAACATTCACGATTTCTTTCAAAATTATTTTCTCGAACCTCTGTAGAATAGTTATGTTTGATTTACTGTCCGTACCCCATAGTTGTACACCGTAGGACCATATTGGTTTAATAGTCTTGTATAATAGGAGTTTATTTTCTATTGAGTCTTGTGATTTCCAGCCCATTAAGGCCTATTTTCAGACGGATATAATTTTTTTAGAAAATGAACTTATTCTCTATTTTCCAATAAATTCCCTCATTTAAATTTCTTCTTATTTTGGTAGTCACTCTTTATTATTGTACCAAAAATAGTACTTATATAGAAATAAAATAGCACTAAGAATAAGTGTAAATTATCTACCACGTTATCAGAAAAAATTTCACATGGGTTAAGAAATTATCAAGTTTTGTTCCGGATAGGCCAAGTTTTCAAAACATACTGCAAATGTATCGTTTGCACTCGACATCTGGCCTTCTACCAATTTGGCCATCCGATTGTCGTAACCTTCTACCAATTTGTCAGACATTTATGTCTGCCATAGCTCATGTAGAAGTTCCGAACGTCATACACATATGACTGACATGGCAACTAACGTGCTAAAGGCATCGGGTGCAGAATCCTCATAAGCAAAGAATTATCTAATAACATTAAATACAACAATACTTATATCATATCTATAACTAATTTAAATTTTATTCATTGTGCCGATAGTGCTTAGTCAGTTCCATCCAGTCTCTTACAACTTTTTTAAAGCTGTTCAAATTTTCTTGTATAAAAAATTTGCTGAATACAAAATTCTGATTAAAATAGCCTTTTCATTAATAATTTCCACAAAAAATAACAAAAATTATGAAAACTATGAAAATATCTAAAATTTATGAAAATTATAATATATAATATAATTTATAATTGAATTATAATGTTCTTACTAGAAATCATTATTTTTGATTGAAAACAAGATACATTTGAAAAAACCTGATTTTTATTGCATTCTTAAATAGTATTTATTTAAAAAAAAATAATTTTTGTTGCATACAACAACCTCTCTCCCCTACGTACTGTCACGAATTACTATAACTAAAAATTACCGTC